ACAATAAAACAAAATAAACCCTGAAGGGTGATTAATGAAGAAACAAGTGGTGTGAAAAGACGTGGAGGCAAATTTAGCTAGGCACGGGGAAAGTGGGTGGAGATAATGAGTGTGGGTGATAATGGATTGTTAGGAAAGCAAGGCAGGTTCCATTTAAAGAGGCTCGTAAACAGCATTGACCCTCCGAAGCTTGTGAGGGCAGTCATCTCTATGTGAGGGTGATCATCTCTATGTGAGGGCGGTCATCTCTTGTGAGGACGGTCATCTCTTGTGAGGGCGGTCATCTCTATGTGAGGGTGGTCATCTCTTGTGAGGATGGTCATCTCTATGTGAGGGCGGTCATCTCTATGTGAGGACGGTCATCTCTTGCATCTCTATGGCAGTGCCTGTGGAGTAAAAGATGCAGCATGTCTCTGGCTTTCAACTCCAGCTGCACGTCTAGTCTGTGATTGGTTTTCACTTAAGCCCCGACTTTCAAGAGGAGAGTTTTATACCTCTGCAGATTGCAGATATCTGAAACGCATTTGAACTGTTTAAACATTGGGTGCCGGAGGGGGAGGTAGTGTAAGGATGCAGGACTGCTTGGTGGATCCCAGGGTCAAATCACCTGTGGGCCTTGAATTGCAAAGATGAAAAGGCTGCAGAGGGCAGTCTGGGGCCTTCCAGCTCCTGTCTCTGCTTCTGCTTTCCCTGGCTGCTCCTGCACTTTCACTGTACCCCTAACCCCGACCATGAACCGCAAAGCCAAGATTTTTGGGGGGGCTTACAATTTTTTGCAGGTGGAGGAACTTCTCTGCAATCTGAATAGCATTTTATATGACACTGTGAAAATGAGGGAATTTCAGGAAGATCCTGAGATGCTCATGGATCTCATGTACAGGTAAACTTCCCTGAGAAACTGAGGGCCATTGCTTGGAAAGGTCCAGGGTTTTCTCAGTAAATTCTTTCTAATGTAATTATCATAGGCACCATGATAGACCAGTTTGGGGACAACATCCACAAATATGTGAAATTGATAGAAAACTGGGGAAGATTCATATATAAATTTTCAGAAGGATTGCCCTTCAAGTGCAGTGTTTATAATATTGCCTTTTGTTTAGAATGAGAGAAAGAATTATCAACTGTTATCTGAGTTATTTCCCAAATGCATTGTTGCAATTATATTCAGCCAAACTTTACAGGCAATTTACTTTAGATGTCATATTTTACTGTGTAGTTTACAACTGCCTTCTTGTCCCATAGCTTCAGGAGAATCTACTTATAAAGGCATATTTGCTCTGATCTATGTCAGAAGACATTACCTTTGTCCCCCATTGTTACTTTGTGAGAAAGGGAAGGAAGAAAACTGTTCGAGATCCATGAAAAAGGAATAATGTTATCAAGGTTTTTTCCTCATAAGGCCTTCATGAAATGCTCTTTCTCTGTATCCAGCATACTCTGGACATGGATTGAAAAGGGTTAGATGAAAACGTTAACTCTTTCCCTCTAGGCAAATACAAGTTAGGGGAAAACAGAAATTTATAAAAGAAAACAAAATCTCCAAAGTATCCTGTAGAGCAGAGGCTCCAGCAGTGGCCTTTGAAACCCTTTCCCAATCTGTCTTCAGAATTGCCAAGAGCTACCAGGCGTCTCCTGACCTGTGGCTGACCTGGCTCCAGAACATGGCAGAGAAGCACATGAAGAGGAGGTGCTTCACAGAGGCTGCCATGTGCCTTGTGCACGCGGCTGCCTTGGTGGCCGAGTATCTGAGCATGCTGGAGGATCACAGCTACCTGCCGGTGGGCAGCGTCAACTTTCAGGTGAGACGTTTTTCCCTTACAATGTGTCTCAACCAGCCACAGGGTGTCCTCCACCGAAGGAGTATTACCTGCGACACAAGGCTTTTTTTTGTCTTTTTGAAGTAGGGTGTCCCTGTAGCCCCAGCTGTCCTGGAACTCACTATGTAGACCAGGCTGGCCTTGAGCTCACAGAGATCTGCCTGCCTCTGCCTCCCAAGTGCTGGGACTACAGGCATGCGCCACCACGCCCGGCTACAAGGCATTTTTTTTATGTTATAAATCATGGTGGGAGGCTGGGCTACTGACATCTAACATGGAGAAACCAAGGATATTTCCACCACTAATGTCAATATCACCAAGGTTAAAAAATGCTCTGTTAAAATATAATACTTGCCTCCTCTGATTGCTTTTTCATTTTTTTTTTTTTGTTTGTTTCTTTGGGGTTTTTTAATGTCTTTTTGAGATAGGGTCTCCCTGTAGCCCCAGCCGGCCTGGAACTTACTATGTAGACCAGGCTGGCCTTGAACTCATAGAGATTCACCTGCCTCTGCCTCCCAAGTGCTGTGATTAAAGACGTATGCCACCATGCCCAGCCTGCTTTGCAATTTAAAGAAAAATATTGATTACAATAATGATACTTAGAGGCAATGAACACTTTGGTAGATACTCTCAGACATTTGAAATTCACATGCCTTTGACCTTCCCCATAAACCTGTGAAGCAGGAGATAGGGAAGGTAGTGTTACCCCTACTTCACAGACGCTGGAAATGAGTGAGTAGTTTTCTAAGGTCATTTAAACACTTTCTTAGAGACTTGTAGTTAGCATTGTATACCAGCAAGCAGGAAACTGGAGTAATGACTTTCCTCATGGCCGAACCCTTCAAGTCTGTTCCCTAACTCTGTAAGATCCAAAATCAAGAACCAAGTTGACCTGAGAAGAGAAACAAATGGTTAACTGAATACTCTCTCAGGATAACCTGAAAGTTACCCACAGCTGATTAAAGGACATTTTGTACCAGACCTAAAAGTTACCTCAGAATGGGCTGCTCAGTGGCCACCTGGACTGTTGATACTATATAGTCTGATAGACTACTTAAAGGAAAGAAAAGCCCAAACAAAAACAGTGTTAGGCATACTTTCTTTGAAAGAAACATCATCTGTAGAGATGACCATCCCTGAAGCCATGGACAGTAGAGCTACAGTGATAGAACGTTTTCAGCCAGACTGGCAGAGTCGTTCTTAAGTTCATATCATTCTTGTTGGAATTTCTATGACTGGTTTTATGAAAGGCTTGTTCTCATGATTGTCCCTCAGCACAGTTTTGGGAGGCTTTGAGAAGCAGAAAGAAAGGACAGTTCAAAGTAGCTTTCCCAGCCCTAGAGAATGAGGCACCAAAACCATTGCTGGCAGAGCCAGGAGCTCCTGTTTCTAGAGTACTGCTCATCTGCAAAGCTGGGTTTCATCTCAGATCTGTACTACATCCTTTCCTTTTTATTTTGTTTTGTGTTTTTGAGACAGGCTCTCCCTGTACCCCCAGCTGGCTATGGAGACCCAAACTGGCCTCAATCTCAGAGATCCACCCACCTCTGCCTCTGAGAGTGCTGGGATTAAAGGTTTGTGCCACCATACCTCGACACTGCCTACTTTCTTAGAGTCCTCATTAACAAAAATATTTATTCTGTGATTTTGTTCTCAACAAGTAAATTTTATTCTCAATTTAGAAATGTTTGAAACCCAATAATAAAATTCTCATCCAAAAGCATAAAACATTCTATTTTATTTTGAATCTCATAAAACTAGACAAGAAAGTTATAAAAATTATTTAAAGTAAATCTTCATTTAACCGATTTATTTTAGCTATTTAGATTTATCACTTAATGTTGAACTGTATCATCTTTTGTTTTTTTTTTTTTTTTTGGTTTTTTTTACACGGG